GAGGCACTCCTCCTCCTGGGGCATGTTCTTTACATCTGCGGGCTCAGCCTCAGGAGTGAAAGTCCCCCAGTAAGGGTTTTCACAAAAACTTGCTTTTTGGTGGCAGAACCGCCAAATGGCGGATTGCAAAGGAAGCAGAAATCAAATTTTAAGAGGTTAAATACCTGTAGGGTTTGACTTTTTTAAAAAAGCCAACAAAACCCTTCAAATATTTCTTTTTTTTTAAGTAACAGTAATTTTTTAAAAGGTTTGTTTATTCATGCATGCAAGAACTGGGTATAGGACAGAGGTGCAGGGGGTCCTGATTCACCAGAGACAGAGCGGGGAGCAGAACAGGCAGATCCACTGAAACACACTGCTGAGGGGAGCAGCGGGCGGGAGAGGAGAGGTCTGTGTGGGTCAGCCACACAGACCATGTGGGTCAGCTCCCTGGCCGGGGATCAAACTCATGCTGCAGTGGCTGGCGATAGCTTGACAGCACTGAGACTCAACCCCTGTGCCACCAGGGAGGCCCCTTCATATATTTCTTAATAAAAACATGCTTTTAAAGTCTCAGTTTAAAGGCAAAATTTTGGTTCTAATAGAACACTTGAGTCCTTTCTTTCCTAAAAAGTTTGATAGAAAAATTTTCTTTATGCTCTAGTTGATCAGGTATGTTTAGAGATGAATATTTCAGGATACTTACTTGATCCTATGCTTCACTCACCTGGGAGGAAGGTGGGCCTCTAGGGTGTCGAGGTGTTTTCCACATCTTGCTTTAGATTATGTTTCAGAGTTATTTAAGGTACCTGGAGAATTATAAATGTTCTCCCTTTCTTCCTCCTAATTTATAGTCCTAAATATCCAGAAAAGATTTATGGGTATGAATGGACTTTACACATAAAACACTTAAACTTGATTGTGTAACATGCGTGGTGTTTGTGTTTGCTTGCTTTTTGCTTGTTTTGGTAATCCAAATTGAAAAGGCCCTGAACTCTTTCATGAATTGACTCCATTTATAGCTTCAAAAGCTCCTGAATTGATTTGATACCTGCCTCTTTTCCTACTTTGAGAACTTGAGTGAAACTCTCCAAAAACTGGAGAATTTGAACCCAGAGTTGTGATTTCAATTACTTTTTATTCTGGTGTCCCAGGGTGGAAGGCAGCATTTATATATAGCCTTGATATGTGGGTCGCTCATAAATCCTACTCAGAAACTCTGTCCTGGTGCTTAATTTTCTTAGGCCTACTGGGTAAACACTAATAGTTTTATGTCTCAGTTGTGAAAATGCTGTGAAAACTTAGTGACACTATTCCCTAAAGCCACAAGAGGACATGCTCTACTCAGGAGACTTGTTACTTGGAAATTTGGCTCCTCCCGCCCCCCCTTAAAAATGGGAGCTGATTCTTCTGACATTCTGTATGTAAGAGCATGGGTTTCCAAAAACATTTAAGCACCCCATTTATTAATACATGCAAACTTTGGGTAGGGCATTTGAACAGTTGATATACTGTACCTGAAATCTTTGGTCATCAGTACTTCTTGGGGGTGTAATTTAATCAAAGAGGAGTATCAACTTGCTGGAACACATTCGAACTGTGAGGTTGGAGCCTCACTACATTATTTGCTTGTCCTATCACATCACACTTCCCCCTTTTTTCCTTTGCGGCAGGTTAAACTCCATTTCTGTACGAGTATTTCTAAATCCCAAATCATTCCTTCATTTGTACGGAAAAATAAATTTCCGGGGTGAAAACTATTATAATGAAAAAAAGTTATAAATTACAGCAAAGTTCATGAATATTCACAGGCAAAGATTAATTTACCACTTTGGGAATAGCAAACTGACAAAAACAATATGTAGTCACTGCTTGATTTACGCCCTTTGAAGTAGCATAAAATGGAATCAGTTATTTTGGTTTTGACTCACCTTAGGTTAAGGTTTGTCTCCGGAGTATTGTTTTTCTTACAGGGAAAGCAAGATTACGTAAAGCATACAAAGGTGGAGTTAATTCTCTTTTTTTGTTACCTTCTTTAGAAAGGCTTCCCAATTCTTTGAAAAATTGAAGTCCATTTACAGTGAAAGGACCTATTCCCAGCTGTCACCGCTGGGAGACAAGGAGCGGCCCTCTAGCTTGGTGCATGGGGTGGAAGGGGGTTTGTAGGAAGAGGACTGTGTCTTCCAGTTAATTGTGTTCTTTTGTTCTCTTTTTCACAAATGGCCTGACACAGGATAAACTGTGAAGTCCATGGGCAAACTCATCAGTTAGAGGAACTCATCTTTGCTTTTACACAAAACAGATTGTGAAATGCCCCCACTGTAACTGTAATATGCAGTGTCTTTCCTGATTACATGCTGAGTTACGGTGGATCGAGATGTGTGTTTAAATTTGTTTTCTTCTTTTCCTTTACTTCAAGCTCTGGTTTTTCAGCTTTTGTCTTACCCTTTCATAGGTTTTAACTCCCAAGCAGGATGTTTTATGGTTGCTTTTAAAAACAATTCAGAATTTGACAGAAACACTGATTCTCCCAATGAATACTAATTGTATTTATTTTTACAGACTATTTTGGTATCTGTAGATGTGCAAAGGAGGACCCTTGCTTGCTATCGAGCATTATGTGATAGGGTAGATGATACCTACTCAGATAACCACAACAAAGATGTAGTATGTCTTACCATGTCTGTAGGTGTGCTGAAGGAAGAGTCAGCGCTCAGAGGAAACGGGTCTGTAAGACTTGGACCCTGGGGGATTTTGGGAAGCAGAGAAGCTGGTGGATTTGGAAGGAAGTTGGCAGTGTGTGTGTCCGCTGGAGGGACGCTGCTCATTGGATACTTGAATGCTGGGACAGGGAATTTGGATTTTAGTTGATAGTAATTTCAGAGCCACTGCAGCATTTTGAGTAGAGCGATGAAGTCAATTTGGTGATGACTTTGTAGGTGGATGTGGACAAGATGAGCTTTTAGAGACAGACTTAATAGTTTCCTGAGGAAAAGGGAGGTACAGATGTTAGTAGAATTTGGCAACTAATTGTTAAAAAAGTTTGAGAGTCTAGGGCTAGAAGCACCATTAAGAGAACAGTAATGCTACTTTTTTTTGCTATTGGAAATCACAAAGAGCTGTTTGAGAGGAATTAGGTTTTAAAGATTTGAAGGTTGCCATTGTATAAGTGGAACAGGTGAATATTTAATCTTGCTTAAAAACATTTGCCAGAGCGCAAAGAAAGATGGTGCTGGATATGCATTAACTTGTGTGGTGTTGATTTAACACCACCATCTTCTTTTAACAAGATTTGGTCTTAATGGCTGTTAGAACATTGCAAAGGATTGGTTATTTGAAGAAAAAAGATTCAGCATTATACAGGGTAAAGGGAACTTGGAGGACATACGTGAAATCTGTAGAAAAGTATGTAGAGGAAAAACTGAATTTGGAAATGCTCAAAGTTAAGGAAAAATAAGATCCACCAGAAATTCATTTTGAGGAAAAAGAGGAAGTGTATAACTTAAACTTGACATGCAAAAGAACACTACTACTTAACAAAAATAATCCAGTAAGAACAAATTTTTTCTTGGTTATTTTTAACTCAGTTTTTTGTAATGAAGCATTTTTAATGATTATGAAATTATAAAGGGCATGTTCTTTCAAGATTTAAAAACTTGTTATAATGCGTGAGTCACTACAAACTCCTCTTAAAGATAGTTTAATGATTTGATGTTTAGACTTACAATACTACTTGTATTACATTGGAAAATAGGAAATTAGAAAATAAGGGATGAGATTTAAAAAAATAAGTTTGGCGCAACTTTAACACAAACTTTATTTGCCTTTGTCAATGAATATGTCTTCAGGCTTCATGTTCATAACTTTGAAAATATTCATATTTCCTAATTAAAGGAAGAACGTCCTAGCCCGTGGTAGAGAAATACTCTTTAAAATGTTTTATTCAAAAGACCTTTTTTCTTTTTTTTTTTTTAGGTCTATTTGTATCCAGTATTGTTCTGATTTTGTCACAGCGATCACTTTTCAAGTTTTACATGTACAGCTCAGCCTTTCTCTTAGCTGCAACGTCAGTGTTGGTAAATTATTACGCTTCTTTGCACATTGACTTCTATGGTGCCTACAACACATCAGCTTTTGGAATCGAGCTGCTTCCTCGGAAAGGCCCTTCACTATGGATGGTACTCATCGTTCTGCAGCTGACATTTGGAATTGGATACATCACACTACTCCAGATTCATTCCATCTATTCACAATTAATTATTTTGGATCTCTTGGTTCCTATAATAGGTTTAATCACAGAGCTACCATTACACATCCGAGAGACTTTAGTTTTTGCTTCTTCCTTGATTCTCACATTAAATACAGTACTTGTCTTGGCAGTGAAACTTAAGTGGTTTTATTATTCCACAAGATATGTTTATCTTTTAGTGAGGCACATGTATCGAATTTATGGATTACAGTTATTAATGGAAGACACATGGAAGAGGATTCGTTTTCCAGATATACTTCGAGTCTTTTGGCTAACAAGAATTACAGCTCAGGCTACAGTGTTAATGTACATTTTAAGGATGGCAAATGAAACTGATTCCTTCTTTATTTCTTGGGATGATTTCTGGGACCTCATTTGCAATCTTATAATTAGTGGTTGTGATTCTACACTAACTGTACTGGGCATGAGTGCTGTAATTTCCTCAGTAGCCCATTATCTGGGCCTTGGGATCTTAGCCTTTATTGGCTCAACTGAAGAAGATGATAGGCGGCTTGGCTTTGTAGCACCCGTTTTATTTTTTATTTTGGCTCTGCAGACTGGTCTAAGTGGACTGAGACCAGAAGAAAGACTTATTCGCTTAAGTAGAAACATGTGCCTTTTATTAACCGCAGTCCTCCATTTCATCCATGGAATGACAGACCCTGTGTTAATGTCGCTCAGTGCCTCTCATGTGTCATCTTTTCGTAGACATTTTCCTGTGCTCTTTGTCTCCGCCTGCCTGTTCATTCTTCCCGTCTTACTGAGTTACGTTCTCTGGCATCACTATGCACTAAATACATGGTTGTTTGCAGTGACAGCCTTTTGTGTTGAGCTCTGCTTAAAAGTAATTGTTTCTCTCACTGTTTATACGTTATTCATGATTGACGGCTACTATAACGTCCTCTGGGAAAAGCTTGATGATTATGTCTATTATGTTCGTTCAACAGGCAATATTATTGAGTTTATATTTGGAGTAGTAATGTTTGGAAATGGGGCTTATACCATGATGTTTGAGTCAGGAAGTAAAATTCGCGCTTGTATGATGTGTCTCCATGCATATTTTAACATCTACTTACAAGCAAAAAATGGCTGGAAGACATTCATGAATCGTAGGACCGCTGTTAAGAAAATTAATTCACTTCCTGAAATAAAAGGGAGCCGCTTGCAAGAAATAGATGATGTGTGTGCAATCTGCTACCATGAGTTTACAACATCTGCTCGTATCACACCATGTAATCATTATTTCCATGCACTTTGCCTTCGGAAATGGCTGTACATTCAAGATACTTGTCCAATGTGCCATCAGAAAGTGTACATCGAAGATGATATCAAGGATAATTCAAATATATCTAACAACAATGGATTTATTGCACCCAATGAAAATCCAGAGGAAGTTGTAAGAGACGCTGCTGTTGCTGCTGCTGCTGCTGCTGCTGCTGCTGCTGAATCTGACAGGGAGTTGAACGAAGATGACAGTACAGATTATGATGATGATGTGCAAAGAGAAAGAAATGGAGTGATTCAGCACACAGGTGCAGCAGCTGAAGAATTTATTAATGATGATACTGATTAAAATAGCATTTACTAATCATTGAGGTATTTGTTTAAAATTCAGTTCATCCAAAACGGAGTAATATGCTTCACTTTAATGTGTAACCAAGCACAAAAACAGTATCAATGTTGAATCTGTGAATGGTTTTCCGTTTACTGTGATGTGCTACTGTAAATATACCTCTTTAATTACTTCTGGTCTCTTTGGTGACCTATTTAAATTTGTGTACATTATTGTACATAGAATAAAATGTTTTCACGTTTTTATGACAAAATTTGAACAAATAGCTTTTTAATAGATGTAATAATATGGTGCGTCAACTGTGCCAAAGATTCCTCAATGAAAGTATCTCTCTCTAATTCTGGAACGTAGTTTTTCTTTAAAATGGGTGGGAAAATGCTTCTCAGAGGAAACTGCATTAAATCAAGGAAATAAAATAATTTGGACCAAAGGATAAAGGCTATACATGAAGTATTTTACAACTCAGGAAAAAAGTCTGCCAGAAATGATTGAGACACTTTTTTGAAATTTGAGAGTAGCACTGTAATTGAGCCGGCTTCGAAAGTCATGATTCAGAGATTGTGTGAGTAAACTTTGGTATAAACCAGAATGTGCTAATTGTGTAATTTTGATGTAAAAATCAGTATGTTTGTTAGCCGTTCTGTGTTTGCAGCACTGACATAACATTGTCCTTTAGACTTCTGAAGAGATTACAAGATGAAACACTTGGGGGTTTTTCATTGTTTTAAACTAAGACATTAAAGGTGGTGATATTAAAACAATCCTGATCTGACTTTATGGATAAAAATGAGGGTGATGGTGTACAGCAATATATAACGTGTCTTTAAATCCAGATTCCTTTATTAAAACTTTTGATATACTTTACCATGAAATTTTACAGACATGATGTAAAATGGAAGATATAGCAGTTACATGTCAGGAAAAAATATTTTCATGGTGTTGTTATACAGTGTATTGGCTAATTCCAGGGGATCCTCATCTCTTACTGCTGACATTATCTCCAGTATTTGACTAAAACAAAACCAAACCAGATGATTAAATTTCCAAGCACATCTTTTCCACATAAAGATACAAGTTTAAGTATCCTAAACTTATTAAGCAGTAGTTTAACAGGTATACGGTTTTCAGCAATATCAACAGAACAGTTAAACTGTTAGGATACTTTAAAGTAATTAGAGACAGATTTCTGTGTTGTCTTGCATATGACTAGAGCCAAGAATCTGGTTAAAATAAGTCACAAGACCAGCCTATATTACATGTGCTACAATTACGGACTTTACACAGTGGAAGACTCCTTTTAAACTGTGGGTCAGAACACATATACTAGTAGGTCGTGATGGGCATTTAAAAAGTTTAAAGGAAAAGTACACTACACATGTACATGTGTACCGAGTCACACTGTAGGTCATATGGGAAGAGAGCCAAATTGTAAAGCCACTGCTTAGAGACCTTTAAAGATAGCAAGAAACTGCTGTATTTTCACTAGCTCAATGACAGCAAAGAAAGTTAGAGGTTAGTGGAACAATGGTTAAGGGGGGTTGGAACTTTCTCATCCGTACACTTTTTTCCCCTGAAAAAGATAGCTCAGGTGTCATCAATTTCTCTTTCTATAATAATAAAGTATATATTAAATGAAGTGACTAATTTTTATCTGACAGTCAAAATATGCTAAAAGCAATTAATGATACATTTTTCTTAGTAAATTACAGAATTTTCCTTTATTAACAACTTGGAATTAGAATTTACATGCATAGTAATGTGTAAAATCAATGTTTTCTGTCACTCAGCTCCAGTCCTTGCTCCACATTGACGTCAAACAATGACTGCTTTTAAAAAGAGAAACGATACTTTCCTGCTTAAAATCTGTCAGGTCCTGATAAAATCTAAACTAAGATTGGCATAAAAGAGGCCCTCACAACTGGCTTCATTTTGCCTTTCTTCCCAGACTTATCACTTACCTCACTTTCCTGTACATCCTACTTTCTGCCACACTAAATTCATTGTTTCCCCAGAGCACCTAGCCCTTCTGCAGTCTGTCTTTGCTCCTGCAGTCTGTCTTTGCTCAAGGTGTTTGCCTTGGTCTGGCATAACTCCCAAGTGTACTTGGAAACAGTTGAAATGTCACCTTTATTTCCCTGCAAGTTAGGTAGTTGATATGGCCCATAGATCCAGTCATACATTCCTATCTACGAGGGCACTACTATCTTGGACTTTAACTTTTATGTGTTTACTTGCTCCAGGATGGCAATTCTTAATCTTCCCTTGTTTACTTCTTTATCCAAAGTACACACAAGTACCAAAACTCATCTAGTGTAGCCTTAGTAGCTCGTACCTTCCTGACGTAAGAGCTCCAAAATGTGTTTCAAGGAACTTAAAATTTTAGGAGGAAACATAATAGATGGAGTTTGATTAAAATGGATTTGTAAATGAAGATTAACTTCTAATTAGTAACTAGAATTAGACTAGAGACACTGCTATTTTTGAAGTATCATTTAATACTTTTCAGTGTGCAAATGTTGGTTTTGCGAGCTCTGCCTATATTCAACTCTGGTATTAAGGATAGCAGCTGATAATCAAGCCTCTTGGTTCTTAATGGTCTGCATTTTAGAAGCACTTTAAAATTTTGTCATGTAAATGTGCAGTCAAAGTCAATAGCTTAAGGCAATATAAAAAATTGCCTTAAGCAATATAGAAAATTACAACTGGTTGCAACTATATAATGCTTTAAAATGACTGCTGGAAAAACATTTCTTGTTTTTAGTGTCCTGTTCAATCTCCAAGGAATTATTCAGACATACTGTCACCTGATTGAATTTGCAAGTTATATTTCACAAAAATTAGGAGTGATTCCTTACTAACCAGAATTTAAATATATTCCTCAACCCTGCAGTTTTCAAAAACATTTGGTTTTAAAGTCTTTGCCAACACTAAGTTATTAAAGGAAAAGAATCATTCCAATATTTTTACAGAATAATTCTGTAATTTTCTGTCTTGTGAATTTTGGATCTGGCTCTTCTAACCTGTTAAAAATTACTGAAAGATGATGCATATGCAGGAAGTTACTACAGTCTAAAAGCAAGAATTCATAATTTTTCTAAGTGTGTTATAAATATATCTGGTTGCCTGAACTGATACAACATATAGACTGATATGATGTAGATCTAAATTATGTTTGTACAAACAAAAGACGCTGAAAAGGTGTAAGAAGCTTCTTAAAAGTCATAAAATGCCCCACTGTTCCTTGTTACAGGAGCCCCTCTTCACATGTGCTATGTATTAGCATAAACGATACACTTTGTGGGATGAGTGGGAAAAGTAAATTTTACAACTTCTCTTTTTGTCCAGAGGTTTAAAGAAGTATGTTCTTAGGTTTATTCATGTTCTCCAATCATTGAAAATACATATGTAATCAAAAAGGTCACCTGCTAAGATTGCAGTTTTGTAATTAGCAGGGAAGCTACAAGGCAAGAGAACTTTTAAACCAAGTGAGGTAAGTTTATGGGTAGCTTCATGATCTTCCCCTCTCCTACAAATTGATAAATAACCCAAATCACATCTTCTCTGGTGTGATATGCCACTTGGATTGAGAGGCTCTCAAAAGAGGAGCTGAGCTAGAGGTCAGGGGTAAGTTCCTCTACATCACTCATTACGTGGCGGTCTGATCTCCATTTAATATCAACCACCTTTAATTCCCTTGAATCCACTGACATTTACTGTTGACTTTAATGTTTTTTAAGACCATAAAATCAAAATACTTACATTATATGGCAGGGCTCATTTCTATCTTTCAAACAGTGCCTGTTTTCCCACTTCTTTTTGGTGGGAAATGAAGTCTTTACGTATTTTGATCCAGCATGTGTACTTTTGACTCCACACCAAGGTGCATCTAGGATTAAGCAAAGAAGTCTCTTATCTTTAAAAATTACTGTTAAATTAAAAAAAAATCAAATCTATAACTTCTAACACATACTAAAACTGCAACAAAAAACAGCACAGTGCTAAGAAAAGCACGATAGAATCTTGAATTGTACAAACTCAAGTGCTTTACAAGACTTTTATTTTTTTCTGCTAACATCATTGATGGTGTGTGGCGCTTTAGAAAAGGAACCTAAAATACACTGTGATAGGAAAACATTTAAACTCTGCCTTTAGTGAATTTGAGAGTGGCTTTAGGTGCTGACCTATTTTTCTCATAAGGAACTACAATTGCTTACACATTTTATAAGCACACTTTAAACAAAATCATTTCGTTTTCACGACTCCCTAAGAAGTCATTCTTATTTCTACGTTCTTGATTTTACTAAAGTCCGTGTATATAAGCAGAGTCTTTTGTTCCAGAGTTTAGATAAAAATTTTACCTTCTAATCTTTTATTTTGAGGCAACATTATCTTTTAAGTTTAAAGTCTTAGACTAGTTTGATTTAAATTTCTGCATTTTATTTAAATAGTATAGTAGAATGAAGCCATTACAAAGAAGACTGTTAAAAGCAAACTGACAATAGATCTAGAATTCTGAGGTAAAATGCTTAGTTAAGAGGCCTAGTTTAACCATAACTACAACCTCCTTAGTTTCCACATATTAAGACATCCGTTTTTAACTGCCTAGTTGAGTCAAACTTCTAAATTTGAAAAAACTGCTTGCACAAATATTTTTCCATCAATTGATAACACTGTCCAAGTTTTTCTGAAAAGTGTAAAACTGCTGAGGTTGAGCATATTAATTGTTGACTTTACTCTTTTTCTGTCTACTTGAAGAGGAAAATCAAGGTTCTAAAACCAAACTTACCTGTCTCAATCATTAGTCTTTCACTAGGTATTGACTTCAAAACTTCCAAATTAGCCTCAGTTTTCAGTGAGCTTAAAAAAAATGGTATTTACATATTAAAAGGTAAATTTAATGAATAACTTTTTCATATTATAAACTTGTCTAAAAATTTACAAAACCCAGATCCTAAACAAACCAACGTGTCACAGTGGCGCGCTACTTTAGGAAGTGTTTGTACATTCCTATCCGCAGAGAATGCAGATTAAGAATTCCAACTGGGGACTGGCGGGGTGGGGAGGTTGGGGGGAGGATCCAACTGTTTATGTTTACCAACTGCCAATAAATTCTATCAAATCTAAGTAAAAATTTACCTTTCTTGAAAGAATTTGCTTCTCTGAGTAATTTGCCTAACTTAAAAGCCCTCACTAGCTGCCCAAAGAGATGGGCCAAATATAGATTCACTGGTATGAAGAATCAGTGTTAGAGGCTCAAAGTTTATGTTTCATGAATCACTAAAGAATTTTCAGAAAAATCACCTTCACTGTTAGAATTATGTGTACGGGTGACATTTTTCACAATCTTTTGAGTAGCCTGCATGGTGCACAGAATGAAAAAACATGGTACAAATGTGAACCCTGTATGTAGCCTGTGGCAGAGAACTAACCCTTTTATCTGTCAAACCCAGGTGACCCAAAGACCCACACACAAAGATACTTACTGTAATATGCCACTAAGTTCTAGGATGGTTTGCTAGATGTTGTTAGATGTTGTTAGATGACTAATACTGTCCTTATGTTACATTTTTAACTTCGCCATGTATTATAATTGTTATGGGAAATTTCAGGTACACATACAATAATCCAGAACCCCAAGTTTTTTTTTTTTTTTTTTTTTGTGGGACCCTCGTCGGCCAGGGATTAACCCACGCTGAAAAGGCTGCAGGCAGCTTCGCAACCCAGCACTCAACCACTGCACCACCAGGGGAGGCCCCAGAACCCCAAGGTTTTCATCAACCAGTCCCACCAAGTATCAACCCCTGGCAGATTCTGTCCATCCACTTCCCCCACCCTTTCATATTATCTTGAAGGAAATCCCAAAGTATAGTTTCAGCATTTCAATGTTTATTTCAGGAAATATTTCAGCATGTATCTAGGCATTAAGGACTTTTTAAAAAATATATAAGCACAATGCTATTATGTCTAATAAAAACCCATCTCTTTTATCAATATATCTAGTATTTGAAGTATTTCAATGGCATACATTCTCTCTAGGTTTGAGGATCCAAATGAAGGTCATACATAATTGATCAAGGTTTGCTAAATCCACTGATCTATCAAGCTGCAATTTTTTAAAAAAAAGATTTATTTATACAAGCACTGGGTACAGTCAGAAGCGTGGGAGGGTGAGAATTTATCAGAGCCAGAGCGGGGAGCAGAGCAGGCAGAAGGACCGAAGTACACTGCTGAGGGGAGCAGCGGGCGGCAGAAGAGGTCTGCGTGCCAAGTGGGACCCTTGCTGGCAGCCGGGGATCGAACCAGCGCTGCAGTGGCTGCAGGCAGCTTCGTAGCCCAGTGCTCAACCACTGCGCCACCAGGAGAGGCCACAAGCTGCAATTCTTTCAATACCTTCACATTTATTTTTTGAAGAAACCTAGTTGTTTGCCTAAAGAGTTTTCCAGTATTGATTTCAGTTCTGTGCTTCAGTTTGACAGGTTCCTCTGTATTTCTTATCAAGAGAACTATAGTACCAGAGTCTGGATCAGATTCAGGCTGGAATTTTTTGAGGGAGGGCAAGACTTTCACAGATGGCAGTATGAGCTTCTATCTAGAGGCATAAAAAGTCTGGTCATATTTTTTATGATGTAAGGCAGCCAAGCCATGGGTACCCAATACAAAAACTGCAAAATTTTGATATAATTCTATCAATCCTCCCATCTACTAACTAGAATACTTCTATAAAGAGAAAAATGTCATCTGCCTACTATTTAGGTATCCAGTGGACTCTATAGGGGTAAAAGCATTATGTCTTTATGTTGAATGTGCTGTTCCCCAGTTTCCTCCAAAGGTGCTAATATTTGAACACTGACATACATTTTTCATCTCTGAGGAGCTCTAACTTATGTTTTTTGTAGCATTCTGTTCATTTAATGAATGGTACAGCTCAAATCTCACTACATCAGGTTCTCTTTAAAGCTCATTTCCCTTATTAAGTGTTTCCTTGGTTTTCTAGTTACTTTGTTTTTTTTCCTGCCAGTTCATCTCATTCACCTCAAGGTCCTTGGCTATCAATTTATATCAACTTGGGTTGCCAGTGTTGGGTTTCTTCTTTTTTTTTGTAAACAGGACTATACTACAGCCAGGTCTCTGTGTAGGTTTCTTACTGGAAGCAACTTGTAGGATGGGGCATGCTGTGTTTAAGGGTGAGAGGGCAGAGAGCTAACTGTGAGGCTACTGGTTCTCTTCATGCTTCCCTCTGGAGCAATGTACTCATTCTAAGTTTTGGCTTCACTATACAGTGTTCAGTTTTTTTGAGAATTATTTTCCCCTTGAGCATAAATTCTTTCTGCTTTAGCACTTTGTCTATGGGAGGGCGTACTGGTGGTGATACCTTTCTTTAGGCCTTCAATCACTCTATTTTGGTCTATTTCTCACTAACTCTATGCCCAGAGCCTCTGAGATTTTTATTGGCAAAACTTGCTATCTCTGAGCCTCTTCAGTGGGTGAAATCTAAGCTCTCTCTCCAAGTTTCACTTGTCTCCCAGAAATCTATCAGATATTTCTCCACTAGCAAGCCTCCAGCCTTTTTCTTTCCCCTTCTACGTTTTCCTTTCTCCTATTTTATTTTAGTAAGATTTTAGGAATAATTTTATTTTAGTAAGATTTTAGGAATGGGAAGGAAATATGTGTCTAGTTTGGCTTAAGAAGCAGTTTTCCCCTAGGAAAAAATTATCTTATTTTCAACCATCTTAACACTTGGTCAGTACACACACACACACACACACACACACACACACACACACACACGTACGTTTGATACGGATACTAAATTTAAAACTTGTCACCAAATTATCAAATACAGGCCTGCAGAGAGATACTGAAGACAAGCAAACTAATCCACTTACAAAGTTCAAGGAAAAGGAAGAACCAGGCATTTAAATAGGCTGGGCAAGGCAGGGAAGTGAAATGGGAATCTTTTGAAAAGTCAGGGCAAAGACAAGATGGGGCTCTCAGATTACTTTCCAGTGAACTGGTTCAGAGAAGACTACTTCTGCCCCCAGCCCTGTCCTGAGAGAGGGTAGAGTGTAGTCTCTGGAGAACGAACCAGAGACTGGAGGAGAGAACAACAGGCACAAAGACTGGGGCTGAGGCATGGGGTTGCAGATTGGAGGCGGTGTACTGTGAGATCTTCTCTTTGACCCCACTTGCTCCAGAACACAGGTACTTCAATGAGTCCCCATACCAGTTTTCCCGCGGAGATCAGAGGCACCCTCTCTGGAGAGACAACCACCTCAGAAGAACCAACATATGGACATTTCGGGACCTGGTGACAATCGGTTGGCAGCTAACAGTCAGCCAGTTGATGGGCTCTCTCATCGCAAAGCTCCAAACAGCTCTTTTCTCTTTTTTTGAAATATTCAGCAAAGAGCTGCCTAGCAGGGCCTCCCCAGTGGCGCAGTGGGTTGAGTGAAGTGTAGCACTGTGAAGCTGTCCGCAGCCTCTGCAGTGGGGGTTTGATTGCTGGCCAGCCAGGGAGATACCCACATGGCACGGCAGACCTCTCCTGTCTTGCCTGCTGCTCCCCTCAGCAGTGTCTTCGGTCCGTCTGCCTGTTCTGTTCCCTGCTCTGCCTCTGGTGAGTCCTCTCACCCTCCCATGCCTCTGGCCTGTACCCCAGTTCTTGAATAAATAAATCTTTTTTTTTAAAAAAAAAGAGCTGCCTAGCAGCTGAAGAAAGCCACCATCATGACTGAGACAAAAGGATAAGGGGACACAGGAAACATAAATTATTATTGGGCAAACAGAAAATAACTTTTAAAAACTAATTCATATCTTTAAGGAGATGAGAAGATGTTGCATATACCAAAGATTATGGTAATAAAAAAATGTTTAGGGGCCTCCTTGGTGGCACAAGGGGTTAAGTACCACACTATGAAGCAATCCGTAGCCTCTGTAGCACGAGTTCGATACCTGGCCAGCCAGGGAGCAACCCACACGGTGTAGCAGACCTTTCCTGACTCTCCTACTGCTCCCCTCAGCAGTGTCTTCGGTCCATCTGCCTGCTCTGTTCCCCACTCTATCTCTGGTGAATCCGCTCCCCCTCCGCATCTCTGGCCTGTACCCCAGCTCTTGTATGCATAAATAAATCTTTAAAAAAAATTAATAATTAAAAAATGTTTAGAGATTGTAAACAAAAGCTGAAGTTTCATTTAAAAGCCTGCAAAATGCAGCACTCTAAAGTAGAGAGAAAAGAGAGACATTGTAGAATAAAAATATGATCGGAGTCAGCCTGAAAGTGTCAAACAGAAGAAGAAAAAAAATGGAGACTATTTCCCAGGGCCTACAGATGAGCCTTTAGCTGGCAACAGAAATGCAAAACGAATGACAAACTTCAGTGAAGCTTGATACAACCAGAGAAAAAGAACTAAAATCTTCCACAGGAGAAAAAATAAGGAAGTCACAAGGAAAGGAATAGGAATCAGAATAGCAACTGACTTAACACTGGAGCCTAAAAATGAAACACTAACTTTTCAGAGAAAATGATTTCTAATCTATAATCTTTTGCCTGGAAAAAAATGTCAATATGAAGTGGAAGTGTTTATTTTTTCCTTTCATTAGCTCTCCAGACAAATTTTCAAAAGGAAGAATAAAATAAATTTTTTTCAAACATATGTTTCATCTTTAAAAAATGGAATATAAAGGACCTAGCAGCGAAGAGACACTAGTTCAAACAAGCAGAAAGATGGAAGGGTCTCTATTAATGGAACTATTAGATGATCTAGACAGCTTTCCTTGTGTGGAAAACAGAAAAAGGTATTTAACTGAGCTGTCAAAAAATGTGAGGAGGCTTCATGTTTTAAAGAAAGCCAAGTAAATAAAACATATGTTACTGCAAGAAAATCAGAAACTGGCAAACCTTATGGTTCAGCAGTCAATAATATTTACAGACATAATGAAAACACTGAATATACATATAACCAAAAATTCAGGAATAACTACAGTGGAAGGAATAAGGAGGAAAAAATAGGGAGGGGCAGAGTGTAGAATATAAGAACTTAAATGCTCATATACCTTAATTTATATAGTGGTTAAATAGCAAAGTGGTTGCCTCTTGAATATGAGAAATGGGTTGGAAAGACTTTTATAAGCCCTCTAATACTACTTGACTTTTTAATACTTATGCATATATTCCTTTGCATATTAATTTATAAGTCACATAATTTAAAATATGAAAAAGTATCCAGAACATTTAAAAGTCTGAATTCTATAGCAAATAAGCAATTTCATGATTCTATTTTTTAAAGAGATCTTAGTAGAAAATTATGTCATCAGAAAAGTAATAATTTTAAGGAAATAAAACTAGTGAAGGGGTCACAGTTTACTTATGAGCTACGCTGACATCTTGTAAAGACTGGTAGAAACTCATCAAATTATTTGGAAGAAAGTGAGCCCAGGGACCCACCCGTGCTAGCTGACTGAATTGGGCACATGAGGTTTGGTGTGGTTATAATTGCAGAAAGGTCACCAAATGAGAAGCCAGAGGACCCTGGCTTCCACCCTTGTAGCTATTTTATACCAGCTCCTTGAATTCAGTTTCTGGGCCTACAGAGACATACAAGATAATCATGTTACAGACGACCTCTTCTCCATCATCAGACATCACTTATGACTATGTACATGTTAATGACATGATCAAGAAAGTTTTAGTATATGTGCTGCTGAACCGAGCACTTGATCAAGAAAGTTTTAAAGGAACAAAATGAACTGAGAATAAGTTGAGCTGCTAACCTTAACACAGAATATTTTCCATTAATGGAACACAGGATAGTAGTTTATAATTTTCAAGTTTTAACTTCTAATTGTCATGTACTATTCTTACACATATAATTACTGACATTCTTAGATCAAGGTCAATGCAAAACACACAGAAACGTCAATAAAATAAATTTAAATCTTCTATCAGCAATTCACTGCAAAGTTTTTCTTAAATCTGCTAAAATTAAAAAAAAAAAAAAAAACAATTTAAGAACTTACCAACCATTAAATCCTACATAGAGATCCAAGTCAATCAAAGCAGCTGCTGCTTCCTTGCTACCATCAAATGAATGCACCTAGGGACACAGAGGTAAGGTATTATTATATAACCAGGATGCTTTAACATTCTAAGCCTTTTTTAAGAGTTTATTAAAAAAAAAGTGAGAGAGAGCTACAGATACATTAGGGATTTTTGGACCACAGGGTTTCAAATACAGTAGCCCCTAAAATTTTTATTTTCTAGTCAAATTTCACAGTTAAAATCTGCCATCTCCAATGATCCGAGACAAGGAGTTGGCTAGCTGGACTTTCTCTCTGGCTGTGCCACGTCCCTGCACCAGCATTACCAGAGCACCTCCAGAGAAAGGGGCTGGAGGTGGGAGTCAGATTATTAGGCAACAAACATGAGGAAAAGTTAGAAATATTATAAAGCTATTTAAGATATTTTTAAATGTAGTTTAATTTTCCTGTTAGAAGATACTTTTTTCCTAGAAAAAACTTTTTAGAGGCAAGTTTTAAGATCTATAAAAAGGTTGTGAGGGGCCTTCCCTGGTGGCACAGCGGTTGAGCGCTGGGCTGCGAAGCTGCCCGCAGCCCCTGCAGCGCCGGTTGGTTCCCCGGCCACTGGCGAGGGTCCTACAAGGCGCGCAGACCTCTCCTGCAGCCCGCTGCTCCCCTCAGCAGTGTATTTCTTTGTCAGTCTGCCTGTTCTGTTCCCTGCTCTGGCAAATTCTCTCACCCTCCTGCGCTTCTGACTGTACCCAGTGCTTGTATAAATAAATAAACAAATCTTAAAAAAAAAAAAAAAAAAAGGCTTTGCTAGAAAGTCACCACCAGTCACTATACAATTATTTAAAAAAAAAAAAAAGGTGGTGAGAACATTTACAACAGGTCTAAATATGTTAGTATCAATTCATCAGGCAAGGACTGAGATGGGGCTTCTCCTTGTCATAGAGGGGTGAAAGTGCAGTTCCTCACATGTTGGATGTACTTATGTAATCAAGACAAACAAGTGTGTCACATTAATACCAAGTCCAGAGAATTGTTTCTCAACAACGATGAAAACTGCTGCAGAGCTGCCCCTCAGCACTTCCAGTGACAAAACCGTGCCTCCATTAATACAGAAATTATTTTATTTTAAAGATTTATTTTTATTTATTTATGCATACAAGGACAGTGATGCAGGCCACAGCTATAGGGGGTAAGAGGATTCACCAGAGACAGAGTTGGGAGCAGAACAGGCAGACTGACTGAAATACACTGCCGAGGGGGGCAGTGGGCAAGACAGGAGAGGTCTGCTGTGCCCTGTGGGTCAGCTCCCTGGCTGGGGATGGAACTCATGCCAGTAGCGGCTCCCTGCTATCTTTTTTTTTTTTTTTTTTAACAATTTTTTGAATTGCAAATATTTTTTATTTTTTATTTATTTATTTTTAATTTTTATTTATTTATACAAGCACTGGGTACAGTCAGAAGCACGGGAGGGTGAGAGAATTCACCAGAGCCAGAGCGGGGAGCAGAGCAGGCAGAAGGACCGAAGTACACTGCTGAGGGGAGCAGCGGGCGGCAGGAGAGGTCTGCGCGCCATGTGGGACCCTCCTCTGGTGGCCGGGGAGCAGCCGGGGATCGAACCAGCTCTGCAGAGGCCATGGGCAGCTTCGCAACCCAGAGCTCAACCGCTGCGCCACCGGGGAGGCCCACTCCCTGCTATCTTGATAGTGCTGAGACTTAACCCCTTGCACCACCAAGGAGGCCCAATATTGAAATAATTTTAAATGTGATTCTTCAACAAGTATTTCAGAGAATTATTCTTTATTTAGCAATCTCTTTTTTAATTAAAATTGAACCCAAGTTGGATTTGTTGTTGCTGTTATTTTTTTTAACTATTATAGAATCATCCAATTTAATTCTTATTTAGAAATAAAGCAAATGGGCTAAGAGGTAAAGACTGAAGGCTATTAAGTGCCACCAGTAATTCAAGGGCATTAACGAAAGTCTCTCAGTTCCCAAGTGCAATTCCAAAAGAATAAGCTGGCCAGTATGCTACAAAGAAGTGCTCAGTAATATCAACACCACAGCAACACAGGAAACACACATCACTTGTAGTATAAACATTGATGCAGATGCTGAATAAAAACTTGAGAGACTACATAAAATGTCAAAGCAACACAACATGGGTACACAGTAAAGGCTTGGTACTGTTCCTCTTTCCTTAGCTGGCACAGTATAGAGATTTTTTTTATAGCTGGATAACAGCTTTTTTGCTGGAGATCAATGAGGCTCTCCTGAAGATAGAAAATATGTATTTTCGAGCATTTTCTGAGGCAGATTTTCAGAGGCATTAATGATCCAGAAAAGATGAAAAAGCACTAGCATGGCCACTTGAGTTAAATGGTGGGCAGATAACACTTAGGGAAACAGCTCAACGCTAATGACTGAAATGACCCTACAGAGAAAGGCTTATTAGCACAGAAGCAGCAAACTACAGAAAGGAGAGGCTCTAGATCACTGAGGTAATAGTTTATGAACAGAGTTGACAAGAAATTAAGAAGGCAAACCTGAAATGAATGTGAAAAATTTTAAAATACTACTAAAATTAGTTTATATTTTTGCTCAAAATTTAATTTGAAGAACATTTAAAGAATGGCTGGTAGAAGAGGCAGAGAAGAAATATCCCATGCACTGTTAAAATGTGTAGGGGTAAATCGATGGACTTTCTTATGACCAGAATTCTGTACTCAATTCTTGTACTCCAAACAAGTAACTAATTAAAAGTATGATTTATGGGGCCTCCCTGGTGATGCAGCAGTTGAGCGCTGGGTTGCGAGGCTGCTCGCAGCCTCTGCAGCACCAGTTCGATCCCCAGCTGCTCCCCAGTCACCGGAGGAGGGCACACATGGTGCACAGACCTCTTCTGCCACCCGCTGCTCCCCTCAGCAGTGTACCTCGGTCCTTCTGCCTGCTCTGCTCCCTGCTCTGGCTCTGGTGAATTCTCTCACCCTCCCGTGCTTCTGACTGTACCCAGTGTTTGTATAAATAAACAAACAAACAAACAAATGAATAAATAAATCTTTAAAAAAATAAAAATAAAAAAATGAAAGTATGATTTATGTTTGGATGACATCTGGCCCAGAGATCAAACAGTAAACTTACATGTACTTCAAATGAGAGAAGAGCCTTAACAAATTTACCGTTACATGTGAATTACTTTAGAGGCCAATCTTTGTAATTACCAAGATGCTTTCATGCATCATACATTAAAAACAGCTCTTATACTGGGGCCTCCCTAGTGGCGCAAGGGGTTAAGCACCATACTATAAAGCAATCCTCAGCCTCTCCAGCACGAGTTCGATTCCCGGCCGCAGACCTCTCCTGTCTCGCCTGCTGCTCTCCTCAACAGTGTACTTTGATCAGTCTGGCTGTTCTGTTCCCCACTCTGTCTCTGGTGAATCCCTCACCCCCCGCATCTCTGGCCTGTACCCCAGCTCTTGTAAGCATAAATAAATCTTAAAAAAAAAAAAAAAAAAAAACAACTCTTACACTTACCACCCCACCTACACATCGATCTCTGTTTCTTTTCATTATGTCTGTGAATTAAAAGAGAGAACTTTCAGCAAATAGCTTGATTTCTGCAAAATTTTTAAATTCTGAAAAAGATTTTAGCTTTGACTCACCTAAGAATTCATCATGTGAGTTTCGACAGTGAAGAAACATTGGCAATTTTGTTTGTTCTGAGAGTTCAAACTGTTTTTCAAAATATCTTATAATGCAAAAAAGATTTCCTTGTTAAAATGTTATTTTAGCATGAGAAATACAATTACATCGAGTGATTTTTTTTTTTTTTTGGGGGGTTAGAGGAATTTTATCCTCTAGAAATTAGGACAGAAATGTAGGATAAAATTAATTCAGACATTTAAATACATCAGGCTTATTAGTAAAGCCTTTATAACATAAAACTTCTAGAAAGGAATACTTTATTTTCTGAAATTACAGATTTTCAGAAATGTTATTCATGGGCCCTTGACTGTCATCCCGTTACAAAGTCTGTTTGCCTCAGGAGGCTGACCTTGAAAACAGACAGAAACGGAGGAATGATGACTCCCTTCCTTCGGGCATAACCTAAAAACTATTACAGACAACTGTTTTTCAACTTAAATGTGAATATGTGAACTTTTAAGGTTGAGTGAGCCCACCTACATGAAATTCAAGAGATATCAAGTGATAATCCAGCTGTTAATCACACAAATGTCCTTGAAAAACCCAGCAAATAATATACCACTAATAAGCGGTGATAGGTTATATAAATGGGAGGCCTGAAAGAGAGTCCACAGTACATGACTTTGACCCTTCCTCTGCCCCCTGGTTATGGACCTTCATACTCCGAGAACCTGGAGGTTTAAGTCTAGGGTGTGACATGTTCCCTAGTCAGCCCACTGCTCACTCACTGTGTACATTTTCAACTGGGCTGGAACAGCAGGATCTCCTCTGTGGCAGGGCAGGGGAGGGAGGAGAGGCGGATACTTTTGGTATGCATAATCTGAAAACTCCTTTCAGGTCACCCACTAGCTTAATCAAGATCATATGACAAAAATGGTTAATTATTAATTATTTTGACAGAATTGGACAGTATCTTCAAAGTGAATTTAAGAGGAGATTCCTCCTTTGTGTTTAAGAAACTGAGCGGGATGAAGATTTGCCTATCTAAGTGTCTCTAGGAATAGATAATATACCTTGTTCATATTTTTGTATACTATGTTCTAGCAGTTTCTGGCACCTAAAGTACAGATATTTGTTGAGTAGAAAAAAATAACTAAATTAACCACCTTTAGAACTTCATTTTAATGTTTTACCATCTTGATAATTAAGACATTATTTTTGAAATTCAACAAAATGCTCAAGTTTTAAATCAATCTCATGACCTAATTTTATTTTCTGTGTGGAACACTGACCCAGGAGCTCCAAGCGAAGGCGATGGGTTGGAAACAGTCTCTAAGGCATGTCATCTAATATCTACTGCGGGTACAAGATAGTTTTTTAGCTTTGGTGATGGTTGCTATAATCCTCTTGGAGCATCCCTTACTCTTGAAAGGGTTCATGTACAAATGCATTAATTAAACAAACAAACATACAAAAAAAAGGCTCTATCTTGTAAAATTATCCTTACTTCTACCATTAAAATCAAATCAGATAGTTTATCAGTTAGGGAATTATAAGCTTTTCAATATAGAAAGTGAAAAACAGGAAATCCTGATGCTTAATCCAAATATATACTGAACTGATAAAAGCTGTTAATAACCATGCTTAAGATTTAACAATAATTTCTAAGGTCAAATAAATTTCCTTACTTGAGCTGAGTATCTTTGGGACAAAACTGTAGTCGGTCAAAATCTTGAAAATAAAAAGAATCTGTAAATAGTCATGACTCAACAGGACAATCAATTATTTTCACACACAGTCTCCAGGCTGCACTCACCGAGCCCACACTCCCCTATGGCTACCACCTTCCCCTTGTTGTTTTCAGCAAGATTTAGCAGCTCCTTTAAGTAAAGATCAGGGTTGTTCTTTTCAAATTCATCACATCTTGTAGGATGACATCCAACTGTACTGAAAAACATGTCTAACACAAAATGTCTTAGGATTATTTTCAAAGTATTTTCCATATTTATATTTAATATGCAAAATACTATATATTTAATATGCAGAATACCAAATTATTTCAACAGCTTAATTTTTAACAGTAATCATCAACGATTCAAACTACCAGATTTGCATTAGATTAATCATATAAAATTTTTTGGAATACCTTAACAAAGCTGTGACTATGAAAACTGCCTTAATGTGTGAATAAAAATAATTGAGTCAACTCATTCCAAAGCTTGGTATTTACTGAGCTAGAGAGAATAAAAAATGAAGCCATTACTTGGAGAACAAAATATTATCACCTAATTTTATTTTTTATATTGGCTGTTCATGTGACTGTCTTGTTTCATGTGTCTAATATAATAGTTAAAATGCATTCCCTTTAAAAAGGGTGATTTAAGTGATGGGAGAGGGGATTGGTTTTTCTAATAACAAAGCTCACTTATTTAGAGGCCAGACTTGGAGAGTTTTGACTGTATGGAACATAAATGTGAGGTCAAAAGCTATTTTGAGTGGCTTCAGGTAACTTCCCCTGAACCCATGGGGAAGGCACAGAGCCTTCCTCGGGACCCCATGCAGATGTTTACGTGTAAAGGGAGGCAGAGTTTTTAAAGTAGTGAGGGCACAGGTACATGGAGGGGGGAGGACAAGAGATGAAAATGGAGATCTGAGGACGTTTTAAAGTACCTGTTTGGCGATAAAAAGTATGGAAAAGAGTATTTTTATGTATTTCAAGAGATTCTGGGAAGAGGATTATTTTTACGATCTGAACCACTAAGAAAAAGTATCAGCAGACCACGAAGAGTAGTAAGTATTTAGAAAGATTTCCACTAAAAACCAGTATTTTATGAATCAGTATTTCAAAAAATATTAATATGGCATGCCTAAATCCCCAGTATATATAGCACGAGACATGCAAAAATAAAAAAGGCTAAAAAATTTAAAAGCAGATTTAAGTTATTTTATGTATCTAGGATTCCTTTAGGAATCAATTCCAAAACTTTATTCTAGACTTTAAATACAAAATGAACATAAAGTGAGCATATGAAGGACTATATATTATATTACTTGCATTCCTAGGGCTTTACAGTGTCTGGTCTGCAGAATCTTTAATAAATGATCTTTTCACAGATTAAGTTAAGAGTTTAACAGAAACACATTACAAAATACAAAAAAAAGGGGCCTTCCTGGTGGCGCAAGGGTTAAGATGCAACCTGTGAAGCTATCCGCAGTCACTGCAGCATGAGTTCGATTCCCGGCCAGCTAGAGAGCAACCCACATGGTGCAGCAGACCTCTCCTGACTTGCCCTGCTGCTACCCTCAGCTGTGTACCTCAGTCAATCTGCTTGTTCTGTTCCCCACTCTGTCTCTGGTGAATCCTCTTACCTACCCATACCTCTGGCCTGTACCCCAGTTCTTGTATGCATAAATAAATAAATCTTTCAAAAAAAATACAAAAAAATTCTACATCAGGAATATCTGAGACTAAATTATCTACCAGGTAAGCAGTTAATTTCCTTTAACTGAAATTTTAAAATAATTTTTTGTTAAGTACAATGAGAGGATTTTATTTAAGCATCTGGTATACCAATGGGCACTTTGAATTTTTTCATTAATTTTTTTCATTAGATTGAATTTTTTCATTTTAATCAGTCTGTTAACAGTCTGACATCGGTCTGTTTTCCTGTTGTTTCTACAGTCACTATCCATTGTATTGTACCTGAAGTAGCAGTCAGAGAGACTTCTTCAAAATAACTTAATTCTTATTTTTTTTGGTAAAAGTAATATGAGGATACCATTTGTTTGTGCCAAATGCAGTGCGTCTTTACTCTCTTGCAGACTTCCACCTGTAATCATAAACTGAAAAAGAAAAAAAATAAGCTGACTTTAACCTGGGCATCATCAGTTTCCCAAACATGGCTTCCTGTTGCTTTTTACCAGAATGTTTTTCCCTTTTTGACTATCACACACCTACCCTTTAAAATTCAGCTGAAATACCACCTCTTATGTAGTGGTGCCTGACTTCTCTACACACACGCAAACGCACACAAGTATACATGCATACACACGCACACAATCACATGCATGTCATGTAGAATTTGCCACTCCCCTATTAAAATGTACCTATATGATGTCTCTCATTCTAGATAGGAGTTCTGTAAGGACAGAGACCATGTTTTAGGCAGCCTGAAATAACTAAAGACCACTGAATTTAGAATTCTGTTACTCTTAATCAGTGATTCAACAGTGCTGACTAATTCAATAGTTTTCCCAGTGTGGTCCCAGAGCCACCCGAGCATGAGAGGTCAAAACTATTTTCTTAAGATGCTGTTTGTCATTTTCACCCCCATTCTGTCATTGGTGGGCAACGAGGTATTCCAGAGGCTACATGTTGTGTGACATCACAACATCACAGGCTGACTGCAGAAACAGAAAGTTCAGTTGTCTTCTACTAATCCAGACATTAAAGAGATGTAAAATAATTCCACTCGTCATTAAATTTTTTGGTTTGAAAAATACTTTTCAAAAAAATGTTTATATGATGTTTTCTGTTACATACAATGTTTTCTGTTACATATGTTTTTTGTTACTTTTAAATGAATTACTAGACATTTAAAAATTTCCTGAGTTTTAATTTCCAATATAGTGTATATCAATAGCTAAAATTAACATAAACAAAAGCTCTTTGGGGTCCTCAATAATAAAAGGAATGTGAAGGAATTCTGAGAAGAGAAAGTTTGAGAATCTCTGGGTTAAATGATGGATCCTTTGTAGGAAAAGTTATGGCTCAGTCAAAGCAGTAAATGTCTATAGAGAGAGTTATTAGATGCACTAGTGGTGAAAACGCCATCTTTTGCTAATATGTTAAAAGGAAAAATAACCACTATAAAGCTTTGTGTTATGGTGACTACAAAGGCAGTTCCGCTTAAATGCACCTTCTAAAGCAATGATTATGGCACGCTGATGTATACTTTTAAGCCATACTTCAAAATATACAAAATATAGGAGGAAGTACAAATGATAAACAGACATTTTCACATAGTAACTTAAACTTTTGATAGACTTTGAGTTACTATCAGGGAACACACAGCCATAAATAAATTCTCCACTGCCTGTAAAACATAGCATTAAAATATTAACAAAAGTATAGGGAAAACTGTATTGTTTACTACCTATTTTTTAAATACTAGACCAGTTGCCCACATCCAACACTTCAGTTATGTAAAATAGTTTCTAATCAAGTCTTTTTTTAACCTAACTTTTCAAAGTAGGTGAAAAATCATTAAGACCAAAGAGTGTAATTTCGTCTCCCAGTTTACAAGTGAGGATGATGATAAGGATGATGGTGGAGGTGGTGATAGAAAGATGGCAGCTTCCACACAATGGAGGTTGATTATGCCAGGTGTAATACCAAGTGTACTGCATTCCATATTTTACCTACCCCCCCCCAACAATTCTATTAATTAGATTCTTCTGTTCACTATTTACAGATGAGAAAAATGAAGTCTAGCGAGATGAAGCAGGTTACAAAGCTGTGAAGGATGAATTGGGAAACAGAAGTCAGGTTTCTGATGCCACATCTGTGCTTGTAACTACTTCTATGGTGCTTATAACTGCAAGGTACTGAATTAAATTTTAATTCAGAACTCATCCAAGTAAATTTCACTTCAGTTCTGTCACTTCTAAGTTGATGTTGCATGCAACTAGAAATGTGAAGATTAAAGTATTCTTGGCTGAAATTTAGGAACTTGGTATAGTTTGAGTTTGCAGGAAAATATTTTATAAACTGACTTACCAAACTGACTTATAAATGACCACACCATAAGAAATTACTATTATAACTTTAATCTTTTCTTATTACTTGTACATAATGACTGATACTAATTTTGGAGTTGGAGATGAAAGAACTCATTTAGTCAGCAGTGCCATTATTTAAAACTGATATACCACATTGTGGAATTTAACCTTATTTGTGTGTGTGTGTGTACATGTGTGGGCTAGTTTGCTATTTTTAAAGAAGCAGCTATTCTAATAATGACAGTAAACTAATATTCATTTGCTTAAGAGGAGGAATGTCCCCAATAATCAAATCATCATTTTGAAAATAAAAGTATCCTCTCGGTCATAAATGGTATACCTACACCATAAAAGCTAAACTTAGAGAGAGATACATGTCTTTTTATGACCACTTAATTCTAACATGCTAAATGATGTTATTAAAAGAAGCTTGCTATTTCACATACGTTTTTAAAAAATTTTCGGAGACCTTGTCATTTATCATTATTTCTGATCACATGGAAGAACTACCCATAAGGTCTGTGTCAATTAAATTGCTTTGAAGAGAATATCTTGACATTTCATTTCATTAACTTACTAATGTCACTATGTTGACAGTATATCTCCAAATACCAAGTGTGGCAATGGCTCTTTCCCTTCTATTCTGCAGTATTTTAACCAGAACTTATTATTAAAAGCTCTCAAGAGTAACAAAACTGAGTTACCTTTTTTACACCAATCTGGACAGCTCTCTGTATTATATCCTCTAAGTCATCTGTAAAATATAACCCCACATTAAGAAAACCTGGTAAATAAAATTTACCCACCCTATATTTAACCACCCTGTCTTGAAATAAAAATTCATGGTAACAACCACATTTATACATCAAAGTCAAATCAAAACTAATTGATGAATACTTATATAAAAAAAATAGAACTAGTGATAACTTTTTAAAAAATCCATAGAAAGCAAACTAGATGAATAGTTATTGATTTAATTGCATTTTTATCCAAACAGGGGAAACGAACAAAAATTAGGAGGTTCAAACTAGTGGAATTTGCTTGGTATAATTTAAATCACTTGCCCTGACCTTGAAACTTACTGGTATTGTATTTTTTTTAATAAAAATAAAATAATCATTAAGATTGTTTATTTTTACTAGGACTTTTCGGCATGCATTTGTAATGCCTCCTAAAAGATAATATAACATTTATTTGCAAACTTCAGTTAATGCTATATTTTTATAATTACTATTCCCATTAATTTTTATTTTCCTTGCCAGTTGCTTTTTATTTTCCCCCAAAATTCACTGTTAAGTAAAGTTAAACTTTTCTCAGGAGATCAACACTAATTATTAAGCACGGAGAGGCCTAAGAAATGGCTGCCAAATGAAACAATTATATCATAAAAATTTATTAATTTCACATTTATATAGCACAAAAAATGTGATCAACATTCAATTACTATTCTTTCTAGAGTAGCTAAAAAACTTCTTTTAGACAAAAAAGCATCCATCTAGTAAACTTATTTATACTAAGGCAAAAGAGTTTTACTCAATGTTATGAATTAGAGGACTGAAACTGATCACAATGAAATTTCACAAATGTGTATAGAAAGCATGAAATCTATTAAGTGCTAGAAAGGCAAGAAAAGCAAAATGTAAATTTTCAGTGGTCTTATAGTATCATATATGTAATACATAAAAACATCATCTAAACTTCCACTGGAAGCCAAAGCAGTAAATTTTGAGGTAAGGCTTATGAGAGCTAACATTTACCTTTCTTCTTTCAAGTGGCATCTAACACTCCCTATATTCAGAGCTTTCACTAAGTATCACCTAGAGACATAGTAAGATTTGATTTAGTAGATTGAAATGTACAATTCCACATCATTCAGAATCACAAAATTTTCTGTTTGCATTTATACAATAACAAGTATAGCACTTTTCTGAGGCAGTATTCACAGGCTTAGTTATTAGAGACATTCTGCTTTCAAAACTTGTCACCATCATTTCCTGCTTAGTCACTGCAAGTGACAAAAGAAGTCTTTTAAGTGAACTTGGTGTTATATAAGTATAAGCTATTTTCCTTCTGGCTAAGCTTTCCGTCAGTCCTTGAGGTACTACTGCCTCTCCCCACCCACACCATGGCTATCGAGGGCCAGTGTTACTTGGGTGGAAAGGGGAAAGGAACGACACAGCAGCACACGCCTGCCTAGTCACGCTGTCGTTTGTCACCTAGTTGGAAATGTTTTTTAAAAAATAGATTTTTGAATTCTGTACCCTACTGCTCAACTGCTAAAAGGACTAATTAAAACATCAATTATTGTTTGGCTTTTGTGCAGATGGCTACAATAGTCTACATTCAATATTATAAACCCCTACAGACAAAAGAGGTGTAATTAACACTTCGTTATAACAGTTACTGTATAAATGTTCTCTCATAGTTTATTAATATATATTTATGTTTCACTTTGTTTATAATTTTATCCAAGATGCTTAAGTCTATTAATATTTCAGTTAAAGAACAGATTATTCTTTTTAAGCTCTTCTTGAGGCACAACATTTATCTTCATGGAGAAATTATTTAGCTTAAAAAAGGAGACATTTACCTGGATGTTTTTGAACTCCCCTATAAATCCCTCTGAACATAGGATCTGTCAAGTTGATACCAATATCTGTGAAAAGCAAAAGTAAAATAAATGACTAATCATTAAGAGCCTCTATTTGAAACTATTTTAAATAAAAACTCTTGTTGCTGAAATAGTCATTCACACATTCATAAGCTCAAACAACATCTAAGTGACTACTGTTAGTTATGGCGCGGATACCTGGTATCCAAAGGTGAGTAAGATATAACTCAAGCACTCAAGAAACTCACTACAGACTTGGGAAGGCAGACCCATGAACAGGCAATCTAGAACTCTTACCAGTAGACACTGGCAGCTGCGGGACACAGACTAGGAACATCCTATTTAGTTGGAGAGGTGCCCCAGAGGGGCATCCAGAAAGAAGGGATCCCTGAACTAATCTTAAAAGAGTGCCCTGGAAGAAGAGGGGAAACTGCAGACAGAGGAAGCAGCAAGAGCAAAGTATCCAGGGTGTGAAAGAGAACAGTGCTTTGGAGGGAGTCACTGGCCTTTCCAGCTGCTGGAGAGACTTGAAGGGAGGGAAAGGTCAGACTCAGCGATGTTACAAAAATACCACACACAACAGGAGGCAGTGAAGGCTTCTGGGCAGCGGACCGACTAGCATCCTGGCTCTCTCATCCTGGTGCCTTTGTGGGAGGTGGGGTATGAAGAGCAATGGAGTGAGGATATCTCGTTTAGAAATAGGCAAGATCTCATATTTGCAGTGAAAAGAGCCTGAATTAAGGTACTGCAAGTGGAAATGCAAATCATTTATTTCCTTTACTCACCAATTACGTGTGAAGACCAACTCTGCCAATACTATGTAAGGAGTTAGGGGGCCTGGAAATGAATACATACCAACACCTGGTCCCTGCACTTCAAGAATTTAATATTCTGTGTGGGAACTATAGATGTAATCTGTATTTGTGATACAATAAGCTTGAGTGTAGGCAACACAAGGCAAGAAATGTTTATATCCTTCACTATTGAATCTCTAGACGCTAGCACGCTGGCTAGCACGCTGGCCGGCACGGAGCAGGAGTTCTACACACAGCAAACCTGTGGAGCATCATTATGTGCCCAGGAGCACAAAGGAGGGGCAGGAAGGTAAGAAGCTAAGGCTTCTAAGCTGGCAAACAGAAAGGCCACCCTACAGACAGACGTGCATAGGCACAGACTCTATCTTCAAGACCGAAAGGCATTCACTGTGTCTGTAGAGCACTGTTTCTCAATTGACTTGTTCTCAATCAATACAAAGGGGCCTAGGAAAGATTCACACTGATCATCTGAAAGTATTCCACCTGTGAGCAAGTTCTAGGAATTACAATAAAATGGAGAACTGAAGTTCTGGAATGTGAATATGTTTTGGAGTCAAAATTTCTGCACTGCTGAGGTGCTTTGTCTCCACCACTAGACTGTGAGCAAGTTTTTGCTAAGGACTGATTCCTAGCATTTAGCACAGTAGGTGGAAGACACAGAAGAGATTCAGTAAATATTTGCAGAATGAATGAATAAATCACCAGGCTGGCAAGAGAACTAAAGACAAAGAATAGGAAATAAGCCCGATTATGAAATACGATCAGAAGCACTAACCAGCCTGCTTCCAGGGACATGGGGCAGGGTAAGAATCCCGTTAAAGAACACAACTACAGGTAAACCTTACATAGCTGGATGGCCCTAGGAGGAAGTTCCTACTACTGCCCACTGCTCTCTCACAGGCTCACTTCGTGGTGGTGAGGAGGCTGCTTGGATAGGAATCACCTAAAGCTTTGCTTCTCAAACTAAAGGGTGTTCCAGACAATATATAACACATTCCCTGGAGTATCAAATTTACTTTAGAAGATTTAGAGGATAAAATACCTTTTTAGCTTAAAAAGGGCACTATATTATTTCAAAGGTAAACAAGAGACATCCACACACATATTGCAAATGCATCAAGATCTACACACGATGGCTGACATCCCTGTCAGTCCTTCTTCTGTGTCCTTAAGTGAACTTTTGATGGATGAATTTTAAAACACTGATGCTTTGAAAAGGGAGGCTCCACTGCACCCCAAATCCCATCACCTGACAACGATAAAGTATAGATTGTTATTGCTATTACAGATTGAAGACATTTACTCAACAAAGTCAAAGAAATTAGCTGCAAGTATAACCTGGGACAGAAAGTTGAGGTAGGTGTCCCCCCAGAGGAAAAAAAAATAGTTCTGCTTCCCCCATCCCTCACCCATATTTGAAACATGGTATAGCCACTTGTTAAGTGAAAAGCAGGACTATAATCTGGGGTAGTCAGTTGTCCTAAACCAAAATCTAAACCTGCTTTTGTAGCACAGGTTTAATTTTCATGCAATTGTTTCATGAACCAATCTTCTATGGGTCTAAGATGTTTTTCAAAGTACTGTTCATGACAGAGAAGTCAGTATAGTGGGTCAGACCCTGGCCAGGGATTGAACTGGTGTTGCAGTGGCTACCGACAGCTTCATAGTTCTGAGACATAACTCCTTGCGCCATCAGGGAGGCCCATGTCTGCGTATTTTTATGTGTCTGTATAAATATTTTACAAAATTAAGGAAGGTAAATTAACAATGGTTAACTTCAGGAGAGTGGAAGTGAAGGAGCAAATACAAAAAAATTATTCCCTTAACTTCTGTAGTAAGTTTTTTCTAGCATATTTGGTTTAGATTTCTTCATTAATTTTCTTATCACCTTACCACTAAGGCAACATATTATGCTGCCCAGTCATTCATACTTATTCAGTGAAACAGTCACTGTATTAAACTCCTGGGAAACAAAGATAAATAGCACTAGGCATCTGACTTAAGAGTGTGGTGTAGTGGGAGAGGCAGCTAAATAAATATTTAAAAAACGTGGAATTATGAAATCTTAAAGAACAAGGGAAAATCAACCAGGCAAGAGGGTAATAAGACACGAGAGGCAGAGAGGACATTATGGCCCCAAACTCTCACTCTAAAACCTTATCAGAAGCAAGAAAACAGGGCCTCCCCGGTGGCGCAGCGGTTGAGCGCTGGGTTGCGAAGCTGCCTGCGGACTTTGTGGCGCCGGTTCGATCCCCGGCTGCTCCCCGGCCACCGGAGGAGGGTCCCACATGGCGCGCGGACCTCTCCTGCCGCCCGCTGCTCCCCTCAGCAGTGTCCTTCGGTCCTTCTGCCTGCTCTGCTCCCCGCTCTGGCTCTGGTGAATTCTCCCACCCTCCCGTGCTTCTGACTGTACCCAATGCATATACAAAACAAACAAATGAATACATAAATAAATAAATAAAAATACATGCCTCTCTTAAAAAAAAAAAAAAAAAAAAAAAAAAGAAGCAAGAAAACAGCACCTCCTGAAACCCTGAAGGCAGAAGAAAAATGCAGTTGAAATGAAAAATGTTATTTTATATAGACCACTCTGGAAGCCATATTGAGGACAGATTTAAGGATACATGGCTTGAGACCTGGATTTAACTTGATACTACACACACACACTTTTCTATAAAATTAATGCCTTTTTTTTCTGGGGTGTTTCATGGTTCTTACCCCACATCCCCCACCAATTACATCACAGATTAGTGTGGAGAGCCTGCCAGACATCACACCTGAAAAGTATCTCTAATGAGGACTTACCCCTCAACTCCACTTCAGTTTTCTCCACAGCGTTTCATAAATTCTCTGCATTTGCTTTGTCTGTACCAAAGTTTGACTGGACGTACCTCTGCTGTCTGAAAACGGCGCCATCAATTTTTCATCGTTCCACAGTACTTAGCACAGTATTTGTGGAAAACAAAAAAAACAACTGTGCCAAACAACTCTCAGATATAAGCTATTAATCCTAACCTCTCTCCTGAGTGCAGACTACATTTCCAATTATCTACCAGCATCTCTACCTGGACATCCTATAAGGATGTCATTTAACCTAATCCAAATAGATGTCACTACATCTCCACGGCACTGCCAAACCAATCACGCTTCCATCTCATATCCTGGTATTTACCCAAACCATAGTCATCTTTGTTCACTGTCCCTTACCTGCCCTATACATTCAGCTGATAGGTGCTGAGTACATACACATCTCATTTCTCTCTCCCATTTCCACTGCCTTAACTCAAGCTCTACACGGCTTCTCTGCCTCTCCCTGTCTTCCACAAAACCCACACAATCGCTGTCAAGAGTACCTTACTAACGCACACATGTGACCATCACTTTCCACTTTAAGGTAGTGATAGGCTCCACGAAGACTAGGATCATGCAGTTTTACCCCAAGCTGTGTCTCACAGTCCAAGCTTGCGGGTAGACAACTGGCACACCATGAGTTACTGAACGAGCGCTCCCTGTCAACAGCCTTCAGCAGAGCTCCACTCTACATGCAGTAAAACGAAACTCAGCAAGACCTGCAATCCCAAGTCACCTTTCCAAGGCTAGCTCGCACAACCTCCCCCCGATTTCCCTAAGCGCCTGGTAGTGAACATGCTTGCTCCTCTGGCTGCGTCCGGCATCTCCCTTTTGCTCGACTGATGCTGAATGAATTCTTCTATTTGCCAAGTAACAGAATTAGTTTTTTCCTACTATCTGTGTCCCGCAGTTTTGTCACCAGATGGGGCGACGCCAGCAGAGCAGGGGACGGGTGCCAGCGCCACCAAAGGGGTGCGGTAAAAGCAGGACGGATGCATTCATTTTAGGGCCCCCTCGAGGCCGGGCAGGGGGTGAGGTGCGGGGCGATGGCGAGTACCAAGGTGATGGGCCTTTCTGGTCTTTTCACTTCCTTTTTTCCATTTTTATTGAACACGACCATATACTGAAAAGAACATAAATCAAAATTGCTCAGTTCATGAATTTTCAAGTAAGCACTTCCGTGACGCCAGCGCCTGGCCCGAAAGCCACAACATCGCCATTACCCAGAAGCCCCCGCTCGTTCGCCCACTGAGCGCCCTTTCAACCCTTAAAAATTCGGACATTTCAAGTCCCAGGCTCTGTGGCCACAGCGGACGAGGCCTGACGGGCAGCAGCAGCGCCTAAGGCCCGGAGAACGCTCTTACCTATAAACTTAAAGCGACTCATGACCGCGGCGGCGGGTCCTGCGGGGCGGAAGCGGGTCCTGCGGGGCGGAAGCGAAGTGACCTCGCTGGTCCCGCCCCCAACAGGCACTTCCGGCCTCCCAGGAGGCCGCGCGCGGCTGAAGGTGAGCGGCCGTCATGGCGTTCTCGGCGCCGGCGGCCTACCTGACCCACCAGCAGAAGGTGTTGCGGCTTTATAAGCGGTCGCTGCTCGCACCTGGAGTCGTGGTGCATCCACAGGTGGGAGCGGGGCACCAGGGCTGGGGGCCCAGCGGCCGCCGCGAGCGGCGAGGATGGGGCGCCGGTCTCAAGGACTTCGGGGACGGAAGGGGAAGTGGCCCTTCGCCCGGGGGAGCCGGCCCGTGGCCCGGGCCGGGTCGGGCGTCACGGCCCGAACCTGCGAGATGCGGGTCCGGCCCTGGCCTGAGTTTTCTTTTCGGGAAAACGGACGCTGGATTTGCATGATGATTAAGTAAAGCAAAGGAAAGTGCCCAACACGAGTTGTTTGCTCAATGTGGTCGCCAGATAATAGCTTTCTCCATGACTTTCTCGTTCCTAGTGTCAGCAGCAATAATATGTGCCTTATCCGAGGATTAGGAATTATTTAGCCTTATTTTACAGAGGAGAAAGCAGAGGCATGGAGAGTATTAAAAGCCCAGATATAACAGAAGTAAAGCCGATGAAAGTTGACCGTGCACACTAAAAAGAGAGTTTTGCAAACCTGGAGCACGCAAACCAAAACGTGGAATGAAGCTCAGGGAGGTACTGTTCTAAAACAGTTTATATAGGGAGAAAGCAGTGATTGTTCTTCACAGTGATTCATTGGGACATTAGAATTTTCTTAAATGATTGAGAATTGGGTTAGTGAAGGATGCATCAATTTTGGGAAACTATGTTTTGCTTAGGATTATCAGGGGCCTAAAGGAGAAATGACCTAGATCAAGTTAGTCTTGCAAAATTGGTTAAGTCAAACTGATTCTGACTGCTTGAGAAGTTCTCAGAGCTGGTTTGTTGTTTATTTTAACAAGATTAACTACTGGTAAGTGACTTGGCCAGGAATCACTCAGGTGTTTAACTCCAAGCCATCATTTCTCCACCCCTCCCATCAGCTCTCATGTTTAGCTTTATCAGTCCTACCTGCACATCCCACATAACTGTTTTTCTCTTCTTTCCTCTATCCATCTGAGAGTAGTCATAGATCAGTCTTTTATAGCAGAAATTTTTGTTGCCTAAATGAAGTGTAAGAATGGATGAAGCCCAACATGTGTGAATGCCAGTCTTCCACTCCCATATCAGAATACCAGAATATAGTCCTGGGAGAAAGGCTTTCTGAAAAAACTTCTGAATAGTACAAGAGTAGCCTGGAAGAGTTGTAGAAGGCATCATTGAAGCCCAGTTTGCACACTTTGTGATATTGAAAGGTCATTGACACTGTTCTTTGCTGGCCAGGAAGATGGCTGGGTTCAGCATGTGGGATTTTGTTAGTTTCTTCTCTGAGTTTCCTTTTCGTTCATCAGACAGAATTTGCAATTCAGAATCTATGCTGAATGCCGAATAAACAAAAGCTAACAAGTTTTTTTAATTGTAGCAGCTGAAGGATTAATAGGGAAAATGGCCATGTAGACAGATAACAGATTTAAATCTTGAGAGATGTCAAGTTATCCAGATTATACCTGGGAATATCTGAAAACAGTCATTGAGGATAGGATAAAAGTTGCTACTATGATAATA